AGATTAAGCAGTGAAGATGATAAGACCTTGCTCCATTCACTTCCTCCTGCTGATAAATCAACACCATCTAGAAATAGCACTCTCAAATTTCTCAATTTCTGAACAAGAGTCATCAAATTTGGATTCTCAAGTTTCATTGTCGAAGATTGAAAGAAGGATGAGCTAGAAAGATCGAGAGTAACCAACCTTGTTAAGCTTGAAATGTCAATAGGAATCTGGCCCCCAAATCCTGAATTAGACATATTGAGAACACTCAAATTGGAAAGTCTTTCAAATCGGGACGGAATCGTAGAATCGAACCTGTTCCAAGCCAAGTTCAGATTCTGTAAGAACCGAAGATGGAAAAGACTGCTTGAATTATCAATCGCACCGGAGATGAACTCATTGCTCAAATCAAGACCGACAACACAGCCGTCGTCGCAGCTTACACCATTCCAATTACAGTAATCGACACTTACATTCCACAGCACGAGTTTCTTGGACAAGGAAGAATCATATGCGAGATTATTCTTCAATTCGAGCAACAGAGATTGCTGATCCTCAGGACATCGTCCACGGACCACGTAATTTCCGATGCTAAGGAAAATCGAGTAATGGAGCATCAAAAGAAGCCATGAAAATAGCAGATTCCTCATTAGAAACGATATTTGCTGCAGACGGGAAACGAATTTTTAAGAAATCGTAATGGACTTGGATTGAATAAACAACTTCTAGTATAGAGATTTATCAGATAGCCAGTAATCATAATTTCGGGGAAGAATTTGACATTGCTACTACAGCCAAACTAACCATCGACTGAAAATCTGTAGTCGTCTCGCGGGTAGGCTTTCAATTAGCATTTTTAAAAAGAAAATATCTATATTAACTGTGCATAAGTTCAATACTCCTCTGTTAGGAGTGGAACACACCGAGTAGGGAACAAATTTGCGACTTTTTGATTAGAGTAAGGAACGAATTTGCGACTTTTTGATTGGAAATAGTTTTCTTGACCAATTGAGTTAGGTTTCAAGTTAGTCTATGTTTAAAATAGTTAGTCAGGTATGATTAGTCAAAATTTTGATGGATTTGTTAACAGTTGATTCTTAGCCCCCACAATTGAACGAAAAAAAATGCTTTGATGGATTTAAATCATATTTTGATTTCTGAAATTTTAGATTTATTTTATTCATCACTAAGTTTTCAAAAGCTCAAGCTTATGAAAATAATGACCCTCGCATGAAATTGGAAGCCAAGCCATTGTTGACCCCCTTGACTTTGGGCGACTTTGATATTTTCCTTTTTAGATAAGATATTTAATAAGGACCATTTCTTTACTTATTTTTATGACATTTAGGAGTATTATTCAGTGAGTTTGTAGATATCTTTAATCTTCGATCATCTCAAGCAATAGATATTTGAGTTTCTTTAAAAAAAAAAAAAAAATCAGAACTTTGAATTTCTAGTTGAGTGTCTCTTTGTTAATCTGGTACTATATCCATTTTTTTTTATTATGTTAATGATATCTTCTTATTCCTATCTAATATAGAAATTTGTCTGTTAAGATCTAGAATTGAATATTTTAGTTGTTAATTATACTCTAAGGTATAAATAATTTTAACATGAACATAGTTAAATTGATAAAACAAGTAGAGTAACTTCATTTAAATTTGCAGATTTGAATCTACACCTCATATTTAAATTATAATATTAAAAAAATAAAATAACCTTCAATGAGTTTTTTTTATTGGAAACCATGTATGATTTTTTTAACATGCAACGTTCTTGGATTGAATAAAGGGAGAGAGAAAACAAACAAATTTAATTTTAATTATCAAGTTAAGTATGCAGCTTTTGACCAATGTATTGACTATGAGGTTTAAATCATATGCTTTTTTATCCTTGAGTTTGTAGAATTATTTCCTTTTTTTTTTTGACTATCAAAATGTTATTTTAGTCTTTAAATTTTTAAAAGAAATTATTTGGATGTGAATTATTTAACGTACTGATAATGTAGCTATAAAAATGTATATCAATATATTAATTCATGCACGTTGAAACTAAATGTAGCTATAAAAATGTATATCAATATATTAATTCATGCACGTTGAAACTAGGTGGGTTGGTTGAGGTAATTATTGAGTATGTAAATATTAGATAATAGAATAATAACACTATTTTTTTTTAATTTATGGGATAATTTAGAAACAAAAACACAAAATGATTCGTCTAAAAAAACACACAAAATGATTATTATTTAAATTTAATAATTAAATAAAAATTTTAAAATTCAGAGGCGAAAATGAGACTATTTAAACCAACGGTCGCAAACTCGGAGTCGCGATCTCTCTCCCGCCAAAGCCCCGCTCCATCGGCATCCTTTCAAAGTCTCCCATGGCCTTCTTCTGTTTCTCACTTTTCATCGCCATATCGATCGACAAAATGTTATAATCTCTGTTCTATTTGCTTGCCGATGGAACCGAAGAGACCGCAACCAATTTTGTTTTCTTCGTGCCTGAGTTGAGAACCAACATAGGCTTGATTTCAGGTTGTTTACCTTTGTAGTTTTTACTTCCAATCGACGAACCTCGACAGCGACAAAACGCTACATCGTCGAATCTTTGTTTCAAATCATCAATGGCGGAGCGGGATCCGGAGCCATTAACGAACTCGACGAATCGGTCATTCCTATCGCTTTGCTGCGGTCCTTCAGTGTCCATCAGGAATTGGCTTTTAAATAACGCCGAAAGGCCATCACTGTAATTCACTGTTTTCCTAGGGTTTACCAAGGATCCGTATTCATATGTTTGAGGAATACTGTTCGATGACGGTAGCATGCTATTGAGCTTCTCAACGATATGAGGATTGTGTTAGATCCAGCTGCAGTACGCTCTGTAAGATACTCGTTTTGCAGATCTCTTCTTTCTCCATCGTTTATCTTCTGTCACAATGCACAAATGTGATGAAGTAATTTCGGATTGGTAGTAAGTCGTTGTTACTTGGCTTGATGACGAATTCAAGTTAATAGTCGTTTCATTACTGTGATCCAGTTACTCATATTGACGGAATATTACGTCCTTTTATCAGTAAGAACTCTTGATGATTGATCCAGGTCATCACATGTGGCCTAATGCTTGCTTCGCATAGTCCAGAGAGGAAACGATATTTGTCTGATGAAATATTCATCAATGTAAGTTTAAATTTCAACATGCTGTTGATTTCCTCAGATTGTTCAAATTTATCCATTGAAAAACTTATCATTCTTGGTTTAAGGTATCGTCCTTAACTGTACAAGGAAAATAAGGTATTGTCCTTAACTAGAATTCGAGATATCGTTCTTATTTAGAATTAGATTGCTCCATCATGCTTTCGCCTTCACTAGAATATATTGCTCGTCCTCTGAGAAACTGTTTTCTGCCTGTCTGTTGGCCTGTCTTGTTCTTTTACTCTAGTTTGATATATCATTCTTGAGAAACTGGATTTTTGGATGTTTGGTTGAGATAATTCATTCCATTTATTTATTTCATTCATTCAATGGAATTGGTTTCTTATTCTGAAATAGTTTTTAAAAAGATCTGAAGAATTCAGAGTCAACAAAGTGGATTTTTCAAAACCTTGCTTATATCGACCTTTTCTGCTATACTTTATAGTCTTTTTTTCACACGTCCATCAGCATCCCTGTTTTTTCAGTTTTCATGTACGGATACTCTTACTGTTTTTATTAAAAAATGTTTGGATACCATTACTGTGATGTCATGATGTGTAGAATGAACGAACTTACCTGGACCTAGTCCTTGGTAGTCTCAGGATAACCTTTCTGGCTTTTGCTATTGTGGATTGATTTTGTCTTAGGAATTCATTTTCCTTGGTTGTGTGCAACTTTAGATGCAATTTCATTTTTTCATTGGTGTTTGATGAATTAATGACAAATTCTAGTTAATAGTTGTTTCATTATTTTGGTCAAGTCACTCACATTGACAGAATATTACGTCTTTTTATCAATAATAGCTCTTGACGATTGATACAGGTCCTGGGGCCTACTAATGCTTGCTGTGCAAATTCCAGAGAGGAAACGATACGTGTCTGATGAAATATGTTGTATGCTGTTGGTTTCTCTCGATTGTTCAATCTTATTCATTGATGAAGTGATCATTCTTGGTTTAAGGTATTGTCCTTGACTAGAACTTGAGATATAATATTTATCTACAATTAGATTGCTCCATTATTTTCTCCCTAAAGCATTAGAGTGCTTGTCCTCTGTAAATCTGTTTTCTGCCTATTTATTGGTCTTGTCCTCTACTCTAATTTGAAATATCATTCCTACGACACTAGATTTTTGTATTCCATTCATTCAATGAAATTGGTTTCTTATTCAGAAAGATCTAAAAAAAGAAGAAGACAAGAAAAATCTGATAAATTCAGAGTTAATCCAAGTGGTTTTTCCCAAGGATGCTCTTATTGTTCCTAGTAAAAAATAAATAAAAAATCGATGCCATTACTGTGATGCGTAGATTGAGAGAATTTACCTGGACCTAGTCCTAGGTAGACCCAGTATAACCTCTCTGCTTTACGAAAGTGGTGGATTGCTTTTGTTTTACGAAACTTTAGATGGACTTTAACCCCCCTCCCAATTCTTCATTTTAGACGTTTAAATCTTTCCACTTCTAACAGCGTCTGCGTGACCATTTCCCTAGGAGAACTTTAAGGAAGAAATCACTATTTTCCCATGCCAACTTTAAGGAACTGATCACTACCTTATCGTGTACTATTATCCCTGTGCCCTTCCCTCGTGTTCTTTCTTCGTTATTGTGTATAATCTTTTGAGATTCTTTTTACTTATTGAATCCCATTTTTGGGGGATAGTATATATTTGTTTCTACATGCATCATTTGGGAAAGACAATCTAATTGATATAAGATTTTGGTTTTTTTATTACTACTGACGTGCTAATGTCACTTTGTTATTTCCTAGGAGGAGTCTGATGTGCTTCGGATATGGTTGCATTCATCATCACGGAGATTTGAACTGGTTAGCTTGGTTCCTTATTTTCCTTAATGGTATTGCTGGAGTCATGTAATAGTCTTATGAAATCTGCTCCTAGGAATGCTAATTAAAATTTGGGCTAGACGTTGACAGGTTAGTTGCAGTACCCTTTACCCATGTATATGAAGATTCACTAGCATATCGTTCTAGCTCCTGCTTTTAGATAATTGTGTGCTCTCAAACTTGTTCTTAAGCAATTATATTCCTCTGGAGGATCTCTCATGATTTGGGCGACATTACGGACCAAAACACATTTATGCTTTCTTGCTGCAAAACAGTAAAAACATTGCATTATCTAATCTGGGCTTTAATCCAAAGGGGGGCCCTTGCTCACCTACACCTGGAGGTCTATCAATGGTACACTTGCCTCCCTTAAAACATGATGATGCCATCATGCCATAGAGCCTATCAAGACTATCCTTTAAGAGCGGCTGTCTCTATCAAGACCATAGAGCCCAGCAAGATATTTGGCCATTTAATACAATCAGGATTTTTGCATGAAGTTTAAGAACGAGGTTTGTACATGAGTTCTTTGTTTGAAATACTTTTGAGGTAGAAGTTTTTGAGGTAGCTAAATTTTGCTGTTACTTTTGGTTGCTATAGATGCTGCCTTTACTCCCATTGTATCTAACACTTGTTGGGGTGGTTTTTTGTTGTTAATTGGGGGAATATTTGTTTTTGCTCGTATTTTGTTAACAAGAAACAACTTTTTATTAATAGATGAATATGAATAAAATGTCCAAAGAAATAACCTCCAAAAGAAAAAAGAAAAAAAGATAAGAACCACAACCAAAAGAGAGCGGGCCAAAACAACCGCTCTGAAATAAAAAAATCCAGAAACAAGCCAAATTACCAACTAACCAACCAAGAAAACAAAAACAGGAGCCAAAAAGAAACTCCTCTCAAAAAACCAGAACCAATAAATATAAATACCAGCAAACCAAAACCAAAATTCCCTGTAAAGAAATTAAATCTTAAATAAAAATTTCTTGCCCTTTAAAACCAGACACTTCCGAACTGAGTTTGTGCTAGATTGGTAATTCTAGCTTGCTCAAAATAATCCGAAAAATCGCTCGTCAAGAGGAAAGGGATTAAAGTCCTTTGAACAACCATTGGATAACCTCTGTTTAGAACCATCTTCATCAAGGATTGTCAACTGAACAGCCAACTTTAGAAACTTCAGCAGTGAATTCTTTATCGAAAGACAAAACTGCTAACACTTGCATCGTAATCTTCATCATCATACAAAAAATCAGTCTCCGAAGGGGGAAATTATTTAGAAGAATGAGCTACTCACCCAATTGTTTTTGCTTGGTTGGTACGGTCTTTTGCAACTTTCCTCATGTCAATGAAACGTGTTCCTAATATATATATGTTTTGACATGCAAATGAGGCTTGCTTTTGTCATTGCGGCATGATTTTTCTAAATTCTAATTATAATTCCAGAAAGTGTTACTTAATTGTAATTTCTCTTTCGTTTTCGCTCTCATCACTCATAGATTATTGGATTGTATTTTCAGCCAATATAAATTCATTATATAATCTTTGGTCTAATTTCTCTATTTCTTTTTAGTTTATGCAGGTTTTGCAAGCAGGTTTTGAGTATAGAGTATTCGCGTATCAGATATACATTTAAAGCATTTACATTGCAGTATCTCATGTTGTCTGATGGAAAAGTTTAAAAGGAGTAAGTTCAGATAATAAAACTGCTGGCAAATGGTATGGAATTTGATGTCTGCAAAACATATTTGTTGTCGTAGTCATAGAATCGGGGAATCGCGACTTCCATTAGGAAAGCTAGAAAGGGGTTTAAAGAGTTAAAAGGATTAAGTTCCTTGGAGAACAGGAACTGCATATCTTAGAATTGATGTTGGTAAATTGTGTTGTCTAATGGGGTTGGTAATCCAGTGAACCATCGCCTTCTGAGTTTGAAGTTCAAAGAGCACTTTTCAACCTTGGAACCATTACTCCTAAAGCTTCTTGCAATTCATTTGATTTAAGAAAGTTGCTCAAATCTTTCACTCTTAACCGTCCAGAATTTTCTGAAAATCTTAAGCACATCAAGAAATGGCCATTCCTATTGGTAATCCTTGCCAAGTCATCCTACACAATGTTCTAAGCGAGTGAAAGTTGCTGCTTAGAATGACTGGATAATATGACATGACAAGTCAGTTTATCTTTTTGGATTTCCTTCTCCTTGGAGATTGTGACGAGATTAGAGAATTTACCTATATTGTTCCATTCTGTAGAACCTCAAAAGCTTCTTCCTTTGTAGCTACGATTTTAGTGTAAAGTTTAACTGTTTTTGACGTTCATGCAGAAGCTGTTACTACGGAGATTTGATCAAAATCAGCAAATTATTATTACGGATGTCTTGGAATGGAAGCTCAGCACATTGATCATCCTTTAAAGGTATTTTCTCAAATTTCAATTTTTATCTCAACATGTTACTCGTAGTTATAGACTTGAAAACCGGTGCCCTACGAGTGAATGACCTTGATGATAACTAATGCCAGAATCCAATCCCTGGTATGCCTCCATTCTAATTTTTCTTACTCCTAAACTCATATTTGAAATATGGAATAATATTAACTACGGTAATTGCCAACTTAATTTTGCTGTACTTTATTTTCAAAACCTCCACATACGATTAGAAGTCGTGTTGAGTTTATAACTGAAAAAATTAATTATGAAGGTGAAAATTTTCTTGTTTCCCAACACATGATTGGATTTCTATTAACAATTCAATCGATTGTTCGTAGAAGGGGATGGTCAGGATGGTTCAATAAAATGCAGGTCATCAAGAGTTGATTTAGTAATGTTAACATTTTATTTTTGTTTTCATTTTGAATTATTTTGAAACAAAAAGTGTGTTTGGTAGCTGTTTTTGTTTTTCATTTCTCAAATTTTAAGAGTCGTTTCTAAAATTGTGTGAAAATTTTAAAAATAACACCATAAAAAAATTTATGTTTCTTATGATTTTACCAGTCAAAATGATAAAATAATATAACAAATAAAATTAAAAATTAAATTCTATATTATATCAAAAAAATTAAATTTATATAACAAATAAAATTTTTTTAGTTTAAAGTTTTAGAGAACAAAAAAAACAATAAATATCTACCAGACATATTTTTCATATTTTTTTAATAATACATACCGGAAATATTTACCAATTTACGTTTCTTCTTTCTATAAAAGAAAAAGAATAAAAAGTAGTTGTCATACACAAAAATAAGATATAAATGTAATCATGTTTTCATTTATTAAAAAAGAAGATTAAAAACCAAAAAATAGAAAATATAAACTTTACTCCATCGCTTTTATTTGATTATGCAAACGTCTCTTTCACGTAGATTTATCATGTTGATGCTATGAAGATTTAATCTCATACTACTTTTAGGAAAAAAAAAAATCACTTTAAGATACATATGAAATATCAAATTTGAAGTATTCTCATTATTAGCGAGTAGTTATAGTTATCCAAATGCATGGATAGGACAAATCAATTTAAAAAATCTAAATTTCAATTACATGCAAAAAAAAAAATTTGAACTGCAGAAGTCTTATTTTCAAGTACAACAATTGTCTAGAACCGTACGCAATACTCAATTCTGGTTTTATCTTGGACTCGATATTCTTAGTTCAAATACAAATGCAATATTTATCATCCCCAAATCTAACTCTTCTCGATAATTTTAAAATTTAATTAATATTGTTGACTAATAAAGTAATATAATTTATTATTTGATTAATCAACTATAAAGATAAGAATAAATACAGAATATTTATATTTTATTTATATTCTGAACTGGATGTAGGTTTTTTTCTCTAAATATTAATAATCTTCTATTTGAAAAAATTTAAAATGGTTAGTTAAAAATAATAAAAAGATATATTCATCTATTGTATTCTCATTTATCATTTTAAAATAAACTTTATGTACACAATATGAAAGAAATTATACATATTTTACGAAATTATACATATGACTAGTTATTATGGTAACGGTACCTCATTTTTCGTAGTGAAATTGGGGGGTGTTACAGTTATCACAGTTCGACTCTCTCGATGATAACGACTCCCTCGAGAATTGTAATACAGTAATCTAGAGATACTTTAAAATTTGTTATCTTATATTTAGTGTGCACATATGTATGGGAAAATACAAGTAGCTTATGAAGATTGGTCCAATTTTTAGAGGTTAATCCCATAATTGAACCTAGAAGCTGATAATTTCTAATATATTATTATGACCCAGACGCTCATCCATGACAAAGAAAAAAAAAATTTGAACAGAAGCCGAGAAGATACCACAAAAATATAATGGAAGAAATGGCTTACAGTTTCTCGAATGACATCCTCGTTTTCCATTCATACTAGAGGATTTGGTTCCATGAATGTTATCATCTTTCAAGCCAACTCAATTTTTTCATGCGATTGGCAGCGACTGAGATAGTCATGTGAATTAGAAAAGAAATGAAACAGAGGTCATGGTACGTACCTTACTCCAAAATAATCCCTGCAAATCATACCCGCCCGTTTCATAAAGTACGCCATCGAGCTCCGCTGCAGCAACAGCAGATCGCTGAAGATAAAAAAGATAATAATCTTGCAGTTAAAGAAATTATAAGCAAATGAAAGTTTGAAGGATCTATCCTCCAAAGAAACGGGAAAAAAAAAGTTTGACGTATCTATATCCAAGGTTAATTCAAGCATTGCAATATCCAATCATTATACTAGAAAAGAAAACGCCAAGAAAATTTTGTTTGTCACACAGGTAGATAAAACTTAGAATTGAACGTTAGAGGGCAGGCATGCCAAAAACATCTTTTACCCTTTGTAGCTTTGACCTTGCGCTTGTACAAATCCATCATCCATGATCTCTTTTTCAAAAAGTCCGCACCCACGCCTCGAATATTTCTAGGTAGGTGTTAATTAGAGACCGTTGACCTTATCCAATAGGGCCACCCCTTGGCAGTTGATCCATGTCCATGATCTAAGTCAGAAGCATTCAATGTCATTTCCACCACCAATAGCAAATAATTTGTTACGAGTGGTAACTCCGCCCAGGCTTCCCTTTCCCACATTTAAAGAAGGGCACAAGGTCCAATAATCATTCTCTCGGTTATATGATTCAACTTCAACGATAAAGATTGAAAATGTGAGAAATTATTTGGTTATACAAACTAAGACATCCGAGAAGGAGAAAACTAGTAAAAGCTCGTCTTATACCATGCATAACCATTACCAGCACCAAAAACATGAAGCTTACCGTTCAATTTGTTCCTAAACTGCCCCCTCTTCATTTGAGTTTGACAAAGAACCCAAAATCATACAACTCTTTAACTCCTGGATTTCTTCTTCTGCGGCTCTGCCTACAACTGCAAAAAGAAGTTAAAAATTCTCCCATAAATCATACAATATAAAAGTTACAGCAAGAGTTGCTGTCCGCCCTTGAAATATTTTCATATTTTCTAGAAGGGTCACAAGGGAGGCGTTGTAGATGAAGATAATGAACTAGTTAAAAAGAAAAGTTACTTAAAACACAAATAGGAAAAAGATTGTCAACCAAATGTAGTAGGGTCGGGCGGTTAGTTCATGAATAGTCGAGGTGCGTGTAAGCTGGCCCGGACACACAGATATCGGAAAAAAAAAAAAAGAGAGAGATAGAGATTGTCAACCCTCATCCTCACAGAAGCATGCATCATTTTGCAAACCTTCAGGAAACCAACTTCAAACAGTAAACTTGTTGGAAAATGTCTTACCATTTAACCCATAGTGTTTGTCGACTTTCTCAAATTGCGAATTACAAAATAACTAATGCAAAGTGCAAACTCTCAGCTAAAGGAAATTGCGTAGACAGTTGTTTAAAAATTATCTCCTACATGGAAGCCTTCTTTAGGATCAACAACATATACCTTATACCATCCATGTAGAGAACCATCATTCTCTTTAGTTATGTATGGTCCACCTATGTTTTAATTAAAAAACATGAAGATATTAGATTGTTGAATGTGACCAAAAGCACAGACATGCCAATGGAATAAAGATAGCTTATGGTAGTGAACTTTCGGAAGTGTAGCCTACACAAAAAGTTCTCCACTTCTTTGTAAATTGTTGTAAACATGGAGCCGCTGCTTGAGATGCTAATAAAGAAATAAATTTATTTGTCTGGGTACGGCCTAGCTCTAGGGGCTTAAATTTTTGTCCGTAAACAGGTTTGAACTGATTTTCTAACAAAGGGTGGCATGGCACTGATCAAATAGATACCATCAGGAAAATAACGTTTTCTTGGAGATGATCACTGTCTCTTTACAATCATGCAAATTAGGAGAAATAGACAATCATGCAAATTAGGATAAATAGAACAAGCAAGGAAATATTCATGTAAAACCTGAGCGGGAATGCGGGATTAAGTGTTCTCTCTAAATCATCAGTAGTCCTCCCATACAGATTAATATTCATCTGACCAAAACTAACTGCCTGAAAGATAACATGCATTTTTTGGCTGCTAAAGTTGAATAGAAACAAGGAGAACCAGGACCAATGATCTTCACATATGAATACTGTTGAGCGGGCAAACAGATAGATGGAAAGCAAACCTGTTAGTGATCAGAAGACAAAAATTGAAACAAAACAAAAAAAAATCCTATATCCAAATGATCATAAAGTGAAGAGGTGAGGAAAATTGTAAGAAGAACAAAATATTGGTGGATATCACACCATGTGATTTCAAGCAAAATAAATGACAATCTTTGAGCAATCAAAATGTTGAAGTGTAAATATAAAACTATTGAAAGAAGTAAAAGAAAAAAAAAAGGAAAGAGAAGAAAATAGATAACTAACCAAATAGCTGTCTGGAAAGAAATTCCTTCATGCTGCTGTTCTTGGAGCCAAATATTATGCTTCCAAGGCGCGTTCAAATTTCTGGTAACTGCAACAACATTCAGTGAAGTAGGAAATCCACCAGCACTTTTTTTAGACTTTGGAACTCTCCTCCCTGTTTTCATTGTTTTTTACGGAGAAATGAAAGTAAAACTAGTCAAAATCATAATCTGAAAGTAAATTGCACATTGAAACCAAAGGCATACGCAGCCTGCACAACTACAAATTCATCCAACAATTGCATTCACTGTCCACTTTAACTATCTCTTGATTTTTGCTATGACAACATAATTTTTTTAATAAAAGGTAGGTTCTTAAGTGGAAA